AATTGCTGACGATTTGGTGACATACCAATGATTCCGACTGGTCTTTCGTTTGACTTCAAACGATTGCAATTTCCAGTTCGCCTTGCAATTGCAATGACAGTTAACAAGTCGCAAGGCCAATCGATTAGTGTTTGCGGGATAAATTTCAAATATATTATTTAGAAAATCATTGTTTTTACATGGGACGTTATGCGTGCAGCGTTGGTTCACGAGTTGGGAAACCATCCGCTTTGTTTGTGTTAACGTCAAACCAAAAACAAAAAATGTGGTTTACCAAAGAGCACTTCAATGAAACAGGATAATTTGGGATTCACTTTCATTAACTTAGAGAACTTCAACTAAAAAACACTTCATTTTTGTAAACGAAATAAATTCCTGTTGTGTAATAAAATCAAATTTTTCCTTTTCAAATACAAACAAAATTTCTTCATCTTTCTCCAGAAACCATCTGGTGCCGAAATGTAGTTCGTCGCGTTTGCTAGTTTAGTTATAATTTTTATTCTGCCATTATATATCTGGCAATAAAAAATCTATCGAATTATTAAGTTTTAGGTTTTAAGTGTTATATCTGTATTTTCCATTTTTTTACTAAATCAACAAATTTGAGTGATACTTTCTCTTAATGTAACGGAATTATTTTATTTGTTCAAATATATTCATACATATTGTATGCATAAAACATATATGCTTAACAAAAAAAATCATCATGCATGAAGTCTTGAGACGATCTTTGAGATCAGTTGTACAGCATTGGTAAAAAAAATCCTATCGCTGACGATATTTGACGATAAAAATTTAGTCCTAAATCAAGGCAGACCGATGCCGGCTCTAGAACCAGTTCCATTCTTAGCAGAACATTGTAAATATCTGATAAAAGTAATTTTATAAAAGTTCTACCACGTGTCTCCTAGTTGGCCGAAGACAAAAGCTCCGATCATTTCCGATTCTAGCAATGACGAAACGTGTTCGTCACACGCAGTTCCTTGTCGCAGACCCAGTCTTCTTGCGACGTCACAGTCAGGTCGAACCACGTCTTATCATATTCATAGCCGTGTTGACATTCTGAGGATAAAAAACAAAAGTTGAATAATAGTAATTATATTTGCATATGATAACACCTGGTTAATGGGCCGGTCGTTAATTTGCAATGATTTAGCATTATAAAGTACATTGCTGTTTGGAGTGCATATCATTAATTTTAATCGCTGTTTAACTACTGATATATCATACAAGATTAATAGATTGCGTAAGGTTTGATTAATTGTTCAATGATGGAGTGGTGGGATATGCTAAATGCTTGCATTTTTGTGGCAAATGATTAGTAACTACAACTTTTGAAAAAGTTGGTTAGATATATTTGGTTGGATATAATTCATTATAGAACGGTAAGTTCTATAAATAACATTTCCCTTTAAGATACAATGGCATGTACAACACTGATTATTTTTCAAATGGCCACATGTCGCAGGCAATATATAGGACTTGATATTGCCCCCAAATCTCTTTGAAGACAATATCTGACTATCAAAATCGATTAATCCGTTCCTCCGGTCATATGAGAGAAATAATTTATGCAAATGCTATAACCATTAAAAGATTATTTTGATAAATACTTTGTTCTCACGAGTTTATCACAATTTACGGTAATAATTCAATTAGTTTACTAATAGCAGCTTCTAGAGGTCAAAAAGATACTGCCTAACTCCGCCTAATACCGCAGATTTTAGAAAAAAAAACAATAAAATACTGCAAATTGTCGGTGTCTGATGCTTTCAGAAAGCGTATAAGTTGCATAAAACTAAGGTGACCATATTTTTGCATGAAATCCGGGAAGGATTAGAATGTGTGTGAGAGCGAGGGAGGAGGGGGCTGTTGGTGAGCTAAAAACTTATACGCACATTTTTTCGGTTCAAATTTTCTAGTTGAAATATATTTGAAAAATATTGGCAATCGAAACATTTTTAAAAATCCGGGATAATCCGGGACAAAACACCTAAAACCGGGACAAATATTGCTTTTAAAAGAAGCCGGGACGCAAGGGAGAAAATCGGGACTGTCCCGGCCAATCCGGGACGTATGGTCACCTTAATAAAACCCGTGTGTCAATTACAGATGCATAGTCTTATCTTGTAGATTTTAGAAAATTATATTGAAATATTGTTCTGCAAATTGTATATACATATTTTATCTACACCAAAAAACAATACTCGTTTCATACAAATTGGAAATAGGTTAAAAAATTTTACTAGGCGTTGTCTTTCAAAGATATAAATATGTTAGTTGGTACAGGTTTTATGTCCATGCGTTCATATGATGATATTCATATTTTTGTGTAGGAGTAACATATTGTATGTTGAATTCAGGTATTCACGTATTTGTGTAGATTTTTGTACCGCTTTCTCTATTTATAAATATTCTATATTATTAGATCCCATATGCATTACAAGCACCCAATCCGTGAAAACAATTTCTATATTTGCAATTTACGCAAAACGCCTGACATTTCATAAATCTTTCTTCTGAGGTTCTGTATATACAACTTTTTAAATTAATTTATTACTATCATATGATATATCTATTATCTGAATTTATTGACAGAGGTGCAGGTAATTACCCGTTATTGGAGAATTCTGAACTTCAGAACTGTCTGTCCAGTCCGACGCGTTGTACATCTCGCACGAACTCAGCGTTTCAAGGCCTCTTGTGTCTACAGACCTAAGGCATAAAATTAATTATTTATGATAAGTAAATGATTATTAAATACATAATTTAAATACATTTCCAGTTATCATCTATACTACATCACTGTCTATAAGACATGCTATTTACAGAATTTACACATGTTGAATACAAAATTATCAATTGAAAATTTAATTGTAACTGAATTGAAAATGAACATGCAAATTGTTGGTGAAAATATAATCAGATCAATTAAGTGGGATGTTGTGAACTTCAGTAATGTACAATTTGGTTTTTGTTAATTGACGCAATTATTGATATGCATATTAAGTTTTTATAGTGCTGCTGTGAAGTACTTGAGATATTTGATTAGGATTTTGATTAATTTGATTCGCTGTTCTATAAATAAATTTGTAAAGACCAAAACATAAAAATTAAAAAATCTTTTCGGTAAATTAAAATTAGTCTTGATGAAACTAGCATTTTATCCTCAGACATGTTACATGAACCACCCTACCCTTTTTTGCGGATCCTTAATATTTTAGGATATTCTTTAATAGCTCCTTAATATTTTGATAAACTTCAGAACTATGTCTTCATAAAAAATGAGAGTTTTACTAACAAACTTTATATTTGGGAATTGTCTTATTTGAAGATACCGTAATTAATATGTCACAAATTTGCACTGGCTTTACTATAATTACCAACATTTAACATCCATTTAAACATTAGAGCTTTGTATTCTAATTTCTTCTACTTACACAGGTAATGTGAGTCTTTTCCATTCTTCCAATGTATAGTTTGTGTTTTCCCGTCCTGGTACATAGCACCAGTGATCAGGAACTGACATTGCTAAAATGATATTCATACAAGGCATTGCTGCCACCACAGCGAAAAATACATTGTAGAGATAATTAAAGCGATGCTGGAACTTTCCATCGCTACCAATGGAATCCAGAACTCTATCGAAAATTGCATCATTTTTCTCCATTGCTGTGTTGTAATTGATGTTTAAACCCTGTAATGAAAATATTAATTTGTGGTTAAAATATTAATTTTTAATTCAATCAACAAATGTAACAGCAATTGCGATAATAAATATTTGAGTCCTTATGAGTGATTAATTTCTAGGTTTAGCAGTATTTATTTAGATACACATTATAGTTCTAAATGGGATTCTACTATTATGCAAAACAGAGGGTTCGATTTCTATGCCTAGACTATGTGATATGATATTTTGCTTAAAAATTAATATCATAAATATATTGCAATGAGTTTTTTCAAGGCACTGAGGTGTAAAATGACAATGAGAAATTTCTTACGCCTCATATACTTTCAAAGTTAGTTAACTCATCTCTGAAATCTGACCTTCGCAAGGCTAAAATATAATTACTATTATATTGTTTTTCATCTAAATGTCTCAAGTATGCAGAAGAATGTTTGTTGATTGAATCCTGTTCCATTTTGTTGAGTGTTTTTAGATTTTTTTTTTAGATTTAATAACAAAATTAAACTCTAGAAATGAAATTGTTAAAGAATCGTTAATATAAAATAAATGATATAATTATAACCAATTTATTATAATAAATTTATTATTTGTGTTATAAAAAGATACTGAATATTAATACTCAAAATTCAAGAATTAATATAGTTTTTTGCACATTTTAAATTGAAAATTTCGATTAGCAAAATATACTTATATTTATTTTTTGGGCTAAAATATTCGAGAAAATGGTAATCACAAACTCGACTGGTATTATTGATATATTTTATGTATGGAACACTAACTTTCTAATCAGAAATATTATGCAATAATTAAATTTAGTTAAAATAATGTGGCAGCTAAATATTAAGAAATCACAGTTATAGTTTTTAAAAAACGCATTTTAGAACTTTTTCTAAGCTGACAACTGCAAATAAAAACCTTGAATGTTTTAAATGCTCGATGCGTACGTTGGTACTGTTATAAAAAATCCATGACCGCTGCCAAGAAATACTATAAATAAACATTATATTAATCAATCATGACAATTACCTTCCGATGAATTATTGTTTATTCTTTTGTGTAGTATATGAGTATTGAACATCTCGCAATGTCAGATTAATAATATTAAAATTGAGTAATTAAGACGTTACCATACGAAACTTGTGGATGATAAAATGCAATATTTTCTAATTTTATGCAAGTTTAGATTTTTTCTTTTAATGGTTCATGAATTGTCCTAAGAATATTTATAAGAAAATGGTTATAAGGGTCTCTTATGCGTATGTGTTTATGTGTAAGTTATATATGGAGATATAGTATAGAATTTAAAAATGAAATGTTGTTGGCTAAATGCCCTAAGTAAGCGAGGCAAAAAGAATTAAAAATAAATGAATTAGGTATATAAATAAAGTTCAAGCTTGAACTTTTTAACAATATACATTTTTTAACATAATGATTTTATACCGGATTTTACACCGCATTTTTAAGTTCCATATTCGATTTGATACTCACCTCATATTGCACTCAGAAACTTTTATTTGATGATTTAAGGGGGTATTCTAGTGTAGAGCAATGAATTTTAAGTCATTTTTAAAGTGTCGTAAAAGAAAGCAATGAATGTTTTACTATCAATTTTTACCACTTATTTATTAATTTTATTAAAATACAAAACAAAAATTTAAAAAAAGTTGAAAATTGAAAAACTGGCAGCTGATGAAGTCGGGGGTCTCAAAAAATTGGCTCCTCAATCTTGCCATGATTTTAGCCCTCCTAGCCATTCGAAATAAAAGAAATAAAAAGATTATGAATCTACAATGATGTCGCAATCGCCGGAACTAACAAATTGGCGACTGTTTGAAAAAAGAGTGTCTTTTTTTATTGTTTTTTTTTTTTTTGAGTTTCTCGAACTTTTTAAAAATAGTAAAAATTGGAATTTGGGGATGATGTTAGTTCGGGCTACTAGGGCTAGGTATATTATAAACAAGACTCTCTGAACATTTCAAGTAAATCGGTCGAGTAGAACTGAGAAATCGTGACAACAGTACTGGAAAAGTCTGTTCTGTGAAAAACGCATTTAATATAAAAAGTATGTTCGATCTTTTTTACTTCTCTCGAGTAATATTTGTGCTTGTATAAATTCCGTATCATGTATACAATGTCATTGATATATCGCAAAAAATTCAAATTTTAATATTTTAATTTAATATTAATCAATTAAGAAGTTTGAATCATTTTACTTTCATTTATTATCTTCCTTAAAGTGTTCGAAGATAAGTAATCATGATGCGAGGTACTTTATTAAATGACGATTATAGTCATCTTTCTTCCTCATGGGGCGGCGGGTAGACGTTCATTAATTTCTAAGAATATTTCATTAGCGAAGGTCGTTAATTAATTTAATATTTGCGTATTGTTTATTTCCTGCGTTATTAGCATCTGTTGTTCATAGTCTGTTTGCATTTAATTATTATTTTATGAATGGTATTTGTAATGATTTGCACGCAATGCAAATGCGAGTGGCTGGAATCGACGATCTGTGAAACCAAATGAATCAAAGCTTATTATAGAACTAATAAATTTCATTGAGACATTGAGATATACTTTTTTACGATGCTGAAGAAAATTATGCCTAGGTGTGCCCTCATATAAAACCGCACGTGTCCACTAGTATGGACAAAATCTAACCAGGTTCAATTGACCGTAAAGCGTGAATTAAATTAATTTTGCCACACATTTATTCATTAAAAATTATCATATTATTCCGGTATTAAAACATACAATTACATAAAACGCTATAATTTAATTTGTTAAATTGCACGTTTATTTAAAATTGAATTAATTATCTTTAAAATATGTTAGTAAAAAAAAATGATTTACATGAAATCTCAGATTTATATCGAGTTTTTAAATTACTCTACTTGTTTTATAAATGCTGATATAATTATAAATTACTGTAATACGAATAATGTGTTCTAATAAATAGACGTAAATGTTTCATGAATTATTGTATACAAAATTATTGTTCTGCTTACTTCATACAAAATTACCCTTCCAAAAAATGTTTTAAGACAAAACATTACAAAAAATTGATAACCTAATTAAATCATTCTCCTTATTGTCTATAACAAGACCAGATTTATTGAAAAATATTTACGTATATTACCTGAAACATAAACCAAAATGTGCAGAAAATCTTATATTTGAACACAAAGTAGTGAAATTATAAAACTAAGAAAACAAGTTGCTTTGATCGGTGGTAATTTTCTGCCATCAATACATTATTTTTCTGAGTATAATTTTTTATGTTTTATGTCTTTTTCTGTAAAAATAAAATAATGCAACAAAGCTAGCGAACTGTCTAGACTCAAAAACATGTGGGCTAAATATCACAATTTTTAGTATCGATGTCGTCTTCCTACACCAATAAAGTTTGCAAAACAATTTATTATGTTGATTTGTATTAGATCGAACTCATTAAAACCAAGCCGGGTGGCTTTAAGGTAGTTTTTAACTGATGAAATTTTAAATAGAAAATGTAATCAAATTTATTTAGTAATGTGCTTCCACGATACAATATTTTGCAAAGGAATTTGACAAGTGATGAGCTTGAAATAACTCCTTCATTCCCTTTTTCAAAAAAGAATGTAATATGTATTAGATGTAATGTATTCAATTTTTTGGTAATTAATAATTAATTTAAGACCACAAATATGACAAATCATTAAATTGAAATCAAAAATGGTTTTATTCAACATTGTTTGTAGAACCAAATATTCCAGCTACTAAAATTGCATAAAGTTGAGTTTTTTTTTAGTTAATTAAGGTAATTTTAAACGATGGAATGTTTTATTGTTTTAATAATTACTTCAGCGAACATAATGTCATTTCTGACTCAAGTTTAATCACAATTGCAACCTCAGATTAATCGATGTTTTTGTGCACATATAATTAGATCTCCGTTTTGAAAAGCAATTTTTTTATCGATCTGATGTAATTTACATACAATGAAATATTTCTGTGTTTTATAACAAAGTATATATTCAAAATAAGTCAGAATCATTCAATTTAATTTTAAGTTTTATTTCCAAGAAGTAATTAGTAACATTTTTTAATAATTTACATATACATTTAATAAACAATTTTATAGTTTTCATTGGTTAAAAGTTTTCATTAAAATTAAATAATTATTTTAAAGGAATTAATATTAAGTATTTCTCCAATTAATATAAGTATTGTAGCAAAGTAATTAATTAGAGTTTACAATTAATAATAATATTTATATATTTATATAAAAAGGCAGATTGATTTGAAGTGAAACAGACAAAGAATTATCTTATTTTTTAACTATTTGATAAATGATCTAGCTACCTTTTCAATTTGACTATTATATAAAATAACATTGACATTGAAAATCTGACTTTTCAAATTTTAAACTATCGTTATTAATATGGAATATTTTTTTGATATTTGCACCTATTGCGCCCTGAACATCAGCAAATTTTTAGTCGTAGTTAAAAAAATTCTAGATTGATTGCCAATACTAATTGGGCGTCTGGGTAAATATTGATAATTAACACTAATGAATATTTAATCTTGATATATTTTAATACGTACCTTACTAAATTAATGTATTTCTCCGGAGAGTTTGTAATATCACATGTTTTATGTCACAAAATTCATGTTCATAACAAAACAAACACAAACTGTTAGAAGATACGATTACAAACGGTAAGCATGAACAATCGCAAAAAATTTGAATCCGTGATTTTATTCAAAACAAAAAACAAATTTCTTTCACAATTATGATTTTTTACAGGTATTTCTTAAAAATTTGTCTTGC